ATTGTGTATCAAGTGGAAATCAACACATAGTTATTAAACAGAATACAAATGGCTGCTAGTAAAATAAGAAATCAACCAGACATTTTAATTCGGCTGAAGAACTCTTTAATTCGTAGTTGTGAAGCATGTATTCTAGCAGAACTGATTTTGAACGATAATATAAAAAAATGTAACAGTTAATTATGATATAAAAAGTAAAACATTAAAGTGTTCTAATTTCGTTAATAATTGAAATAGAACATACAGTGTGTGGGGACACACTGGTCCGGGGGGATAGGTGAAACGACTCTTATAAAATGTAAATTTTTTTCGATATTAATTGTCATCTTTTGAGGTTAACTAAGCAGGGCTAGTTAAACACTAATTTTAAACATATTTTCAAGCTTTAAAAGTTTAAGTGAGTGTTGACACTGAAGCGAAAACTTCTTGTGCGTCAGGTAAAGTACCTTTTCTGTTTACAGTATGGTAAAATGTTACTAAGAAATTTTATTGAGAATAAAAAGTTATGACCATATGCAAATTTTCGGAATCATCGTCCTACTTTATAAGATTAGATACTTTATTAAGATTTTTTGTTTTGAGATTCAAATTGTTCGGGAGAAATAAACAAACCGTTGTTAAAATGTTCACAAAAAATTAATTGTGTGTTCGCCCACAAAAGAAAACAGTTAATCATAATTAACAGTTAATCAGTTTTATCATGATTTTTTTTAGAGTGAATACTTCCTGCTGTAAGAAATCTTTTGATTAAACGAAAACAAGTACTTCTTTTATTTCCAGTATTTGAAAATTTTCCACTAAATAAAGCAATAGCCATATTTATCGGCTTTTCCCCGGTTTCATAACATTGGATCACGTAAACTTTTTCCTCTAATGTTAACATTGTATTTAAAAAACACTTTAAGTTTACTAAATTACTGTTTGGCAGATTAACGTTGACAGGAAAGCAATTTTGTTTTTCCATGGCAGTCTTTTTAGAAATAAAATTGTTTGATATGGATTTTTATCAAAGTAGGCCGATCATTCCGAAAATTTGCATATGGTCATAGTTTTTCATTCTGAACAAAATTTCTTAGCAACACTTTCACGTACTGTAAACAGAAAATGTACTTTACCTGCCACAAAAAAAGTTTTTCTTCCACTGTCAAGACTCACTTGTTTTTTAAAAATTGAAAATATGTTTAAAATTAGTCTTTCATCAAGGAACCCCAAAAAATTACAATTAATATCGAAAAAATTTTACCTTTTATAAGAGTCATTTCACCTATCCGGGGACATACTGTATGTTCATTAACATTTTTTTTGGTAATTGGATTAGCTCTCATATGTCAAAGTTTGATGGTGAGCTAATAAATCACCTGTATAGTCACTGAGAACATGGTTCATATCCGGAATGTGAAAGAACCGTTGTATTAGAATCCTACACGCTGTTAGAATACTGGTAAAATACTGAAAGTATCCTGATATGAGTTTTATCATTGTGAGGAGGAGATTGATATTGTTCAGGTGGATATTAAGAGTGATTGTTCTAAGATATCACATCAATGTCATATTAAACATAAAGAACGTATTGTTATTCAAATTTATAATAAAATCATTTGGCTAGGCTCGAGTAAACAAGTTAGGTTTTAAATTTTGTTGTATGTACGCACTAATGGCGTGCCTCTGCTATCATCTTTCCTATATCTTCGCGGGTGTAATTTTTTACGACGCGTTTTCTTTTTTCTATTTGGGCAAAACCTCTGTCGCAAGTGAAATAGGAATAGGAATAAATAGGGAATAAATAGGGACTTACCAGAAACTTTTACTCGACTTTTTCGTAGATACCTTTAGAAACTAGGCAAATGAGCAACATTAAAATAATCTTATTCTTGTTTTGCTCAATGCAGTTATCGCTCCATATAACCAGTTTTTTTCTTTTATTTGAAAATTTGGTTTCTAGTGAATTGAATTAAAATTAGAACTAAAACTAGAACTAACACTAGAAACTGGATCGAAACAGATTCTGAAGAAGGTTGCAACGTGGCATCCGAACCGTCAAACCTTTTCTTAAAAGATGCACGACAAAAGCCGAAAGCTTTTAGTGTTAGTTCTAGTTTTAGTTCAATATGCTATTTCATTTCCACCCCTCCCAGTAATAGACTCATCACATAAACACATCATATGTATTAGACAAACGAACCCCGAAGTTAAAACGGGGTCGAAATCAAAAGAACTTGTTCCAAATCAATTGAAATAGTAATACCTTCACTATCAATATTTTGTGAATTTGCGATATCGGTATTCATTGTCGATCTTGGCTTTTTATGCCTTCTGATGGTGCAGTTTCAGTTTTTCCGCCTCTTTCCTCGCTGGGTTGTTCAACGGAATAGATTTGATCTTATTTTGATAGAGATCTTTGAACATGTGTCTGACCTAGGCCGTCCTAATCTAAGATTTGGGAAGTTTTTTTTTGAACAGTAGTGTGTAATACTTATAAGTAACTACTAAATTTGATTTTTTTTCCTTTTTATGCCAAAAACATGCGACTCAGGAATTCTTTTATCGATATGTCAGGGCTGTAATGATTTTCCTCGCGAGGAAAACTCTGGATATGATCCCTAACTTGCTGGCGCATTTCTGGCAAATACTTTTTTACTTTGGTTTTTGTACCACGTCATCTGTGTAAGTAGTTGCTCCTGATTTCTTTATTCCACAAGTTGCACCCTCTTGTGGCTTAGCGTAAATATATTAGAAAACGTTTTTCTGCAAACATGTACTACTACCATTAGGAACCGTGTAAGCAATCGTACATTGGCGACGACTTTCCTCTGGTGTATCATATGTGCCATGTCTCCTGCGACTTATGTTTATAACTTGAATCAACCCCAAAAGAAAAGTACTCTGCTTATCGCGATTTGCAGCTTGATAATATTGTTGGAATACTAAGTTTCTCTGGTTGAATGTTAAAGATTTGCAGAAATATTTACAAGAACATGTTACCTGCAACAAGAATGTAATATAAATACATGGTTTTCTGATTTTTACTTACCCCTTGTTCAGGTAGATTTTTAGCCGGTACAAAGACATTTTTATAATTTGTATGTTGCAAGCCACTAATTCTACATCTTTTCCTTTCTTCTCTAATACTCACTATATTGTATAGATGTATAGATGTTGGGTTGGGTTGGACTGATAATAAAAAAATATTTACACTGATACCACAACATTTATAAAGTCAGCGGCATAATTATGGATCATAGTCAATAAAACGGTAGTGAATAACAATCATTACATACTTTTTCTCTCATTCTGTTGCTGTTTAACCAAATAAATGAATAATGTCGTCTGCTCCTTGAATATCGATTCATCACTATTTATGTTACATAATTTAATGGCTTCAACACCCACATCCTGTTTATGATCGAGATTGAGAAAAGTAATGCGGATTTATTTTTTGAATTGGCGATAACCATATCAGTCCATTTTCCTGCTTATTATGAGATGTGGGACATCTCCGCATATCTCTGAGCAAAATCAATCAATTCGTTTGTTTAGATATTAAATACTTTTTCATACAAGTTAGGTTATCTCTCTTCAACTACATCACTTTACAATTCGTTGTATCTGTCGATACTTATCTCATCTTGAAATCTTGAGTATATAGAGTTGATATGGACGCAATTTGTCCATACAGCACACGCATGTTTAAAAATATGAGACTAACATCATAAAAGAAAATATTAATATTCGAAAGCACTAATTTTCTTAAAATTTCCTGAAATTAACGATAAAGTATATAATTATGTATTGAACATGATATTTTTTAGTTTTTTTCATTTCAGTAAACAAATATTTTCTTGTAAGTTTATAGTACAACATAATTTTTTTGAAAGTAAATTTGTTCAATGCTATTTAGGAGTGCATATTAAATCGACAATGTTAACAGCATTCATATTTCAATAGAATTCAGCAACGTTTGTTGTAAAATGTATCTTATCTCCGTTGAATTATGGGAGTATCTTTTTCAAACCTACAATAAGTTACTTAAGAGCACGACCAGTTATAACAGTTCAAGAGCAACAGACCATAACGTTCAGATCGAGTTTACGTAACATATAACCGTGGCAAGTGGTTTAACAGGGACTCTTAGTTTCTATTATTGAACTATTTAGAAATCTAAAAATAACTTTCTCTATAATATGAACCATTTGCTAAAGTTACCATAGTGACCCAATAAGAGAACTAGTCATACAGAGCCAATTAAAACAATATTAATATCTTATCACAATAAATCCTCATTTAAGAAAAACTATAAAAAGAAAACTTAATTACATTGTGTATAAATGAGTTTTAAATATGTCAAGAGTAGTGTTCTAATACATTTTTAACATCTGTTAGAAGTAATAAAAATGTTTAAAAGATAGATTGATTAATGCAAACCGTACATTTTAGTTCATTTCGATTTATCACCGTAACTCCTTGAACGAATTAGTCCATTAATGGAAAACAGGAATTAATTACAGATAATCACAATTAAATGCTGTTTATTTCGATGCAAAGTGCTATTCGCATATAACCGGGAATTAAATATGACGAGACGTTCGAACGGGGATCAGATTAAAACCTTTCAAGAACGTACATTAAACGGTGATATATAGACGGTAGTCCGAGATTTACGACTTTAACTATCAGAAGTCGACTCACTATACACCACTCTGACTTAGAAACTTGAAAATCGTTTTTCTTGCAATCCGCATAGAACGCGGTGTGCTTTACAAATTTTGTTGTAAATTAGTGACGGTATAATAAAGCGGGAAGGATTTATTTTATATGTTGAACTTTAAAGCGAGAGATCGCATCGGTATAGGATGAAAAGAAGTAAAGGGTATTTTATTTACCGTTCTCGCTACGCAGTATGAATTAATCATAAACGTTCTTCATGTGATATATTACGATGTATTTCGCAAATAAATCTTTATTGATTGGTATATCTTTTTTGTGTTCTTTCTTTTTTACAGTCGACTTAACTTTAACGGAATGAGAGAAGTTTAGATCGGCACGAAGAGTTGCAATGTTAAGATGGTTGGGACCGAAAAAACTGCGAGACGAATCGATCGGTGATGATAACAAAAAGGATAACATCGATAACGTAACGGACGACCCTTTGGCTGCCATCGATTTTCATCACAAGAACAAACAAATCTATTCCATTAGCAGGTCAGTCTACTTGCCAAGAGTTTCACTCAAGACTTTAGACGGATTGTGAGTAAATTATGTAGAGTTCTTTTTAGTTTATCTCTATTACTTTTGTTAAATAAAATAAAATGCTTATACTTCAAATTATTCAATTTATTTATTGTAGTAATTTGAACTTTGGTGGCATTTTTAACTTACATAACTTTTTATCTTTATGACATTTACACCTGCCGCTTTTACAGACCCCATTATAACAACACCGATTATCGCTTTGGCCTCCAAAAATTGATGACATTCTTGCGCATTTTCGTAAGAAATAAGTCTTTGTATTATAAATTGGTTTCGTGCATAAAGTTGGCTTAATTCCCATGTTTTGTATTTAATTCAGTCAGCTTGGTCTCTCTTATTTTCACCACATTCAGTTTTTTGTTTTTAATTTACACTATGTTTTATGAATCAAACTGAACAACATAACTATTAAATACTATGTTGATTTTGTGGTCAAATGGGAACAACTTTTATCACAGTGTTGTACATGATATTCATCATATAAAGTATCTTTCTGTATACTGCATGATTTTGATGAGTGTAAATTCATATTATTAACTTGAATGACTTCTTAAGTTCTTCCATTTCTTTATTATATTGATAACCTAGAGCATCTTCAGTAACAGAATTTTCTTCACAATTTATCTCAATATGATGAGCTCTTCTAAGCATCAAATGAACGGCACATAATTTTCCCTCTATTTGTTATTCTAACTATGAACTAATTTGTCTGAGCTTTCCGTGTACAATTTTCAAGTCATGTTATTACAAAAGCCATTATAACTCTATATGCTGGATTTTAGCAATTGTCGCCTCTAAATGGTTTTAGTAAAACTATCTTGTTTAACAAATATATATTTATATATATTTACACAGGGTAAATATTTATTTGTACAGGGTGTTCATTTCAAAACTTTCCACCTCAATTTCTGTAAATCCGGAAGTTTAAAAAGAAAATCGCTGAAATAGGTAAAGAATAAAACCAAGGGGGACAACTTTTTATGCAAAAATTGACTCACTCACTTCAACCCCCCGCCGCCAGAAACCAACCCCTTAAAAATCTTAAATGGAAAGGGGTGTCAAGTGATACCTCATTTTAAAGGTCTTTTAAGGTACTACATGTTAGTATTTATTTTTTTTAAATTGATCGATTCGTTTTCGAAATTTTTGCGAAAATCTTTGTTTTGTATTTCCCGCTTTAATTAATATTAAAAACTTTAATCACCTTCTTAAAAGCAAGAATAAGTAATCTTTTATTATTAATTTATAAAATTAAATTACCATGTTCGTTTTTACAACGACCATTAAACCTTTATTATTTCGGAGCAATCCGAAATCTTTGATATTTAGGTTATTTTGACAATGATATACCTACGTTGGCTAGCTTGCCTGGCGTCTGTCAGAGATATTTAGAAAAAACGATTTCTGTTTCATTTTTCTTTTCTTTTAGGTTTATTTGGTTATTACTTAAACAACTTTTAACTGCTTGAAACGTTCTATTTTATTTTCAGTTATTTAATTATGTACAAAAACTTTTTGCAGAGAAAATCAACTTAATAATTGTTCAAAGTGTTGTCCGTTATTAGCTAAACAATGGTACAACCGTTGTTCAAAACTACGGCGCACATTTTCAAAAACTTCCCTTTGAATTCCACGGCAAGCTGCAGTAATTCTCTGACGAAGTTCTTCTAAATTTTGAGGTTGAGGGGTAAATACAACAGACTTTAAATGACCCCATAAAAAAAAGTCTAATGGCGTCAAATCTGGTGATCTGGCTGGCCATTCTATAGGACCTCTTCGTCCTATCCATCTGTTTGGAAACGTATTATCTAACCACTGTCGTACTGGGAGAACATAGTGAGGAGGAGCTCCGTCTTGTTGAAAATGTAATTCATTCTCATCAAGTAAGGCATTTTCTTCTCTATCCAACTGATTCTCGAGAGCTTCCGTAATTAGTGGATTGATAGTATTTTCTAACATATCCAAGTACACTTCGCCGTTTAAATTTCCATCGATAAACACTGGACCAATCACTTGGTCTCCCAAAATGCCGGCCCATACATTAACTTTTTCAGGATATTGTGTATGCCCTTCTACAGTCAGATGAGGGTTTTCATTACTCCAATATCTGCAGTTATGTTTATTTACAAATCCATTTAAAGAAAAAGTGCATTCATCACTAAAGCAGATATTTTTCACAAAAACGTTGTTATTATTAATAATAGTGGTCACTTCTTCACAAAACTGTATTCTCCTGTCAAAATCGTCTTCAGTTAGCTCTTGATGTATTTTCAATTTATAAGGATGGAATTTGTGAAGTTTTACAACTTTATGAACAGAACCCAAGGATATACCAGTTGCACGAGATACCTGACGCAATGAAGTATTGGGGTTGATACCGAAATGACCCAACACTTCCAGTTGAGCGGTTTCATTCAAAACTCTCGACTCATTATGTTTTATGTTGGCAACGGACCCAGTCTGAGTGAATTTCTTCATGATCTGGATGCCTTTCATTAAAAACTGCGGCAGTTCGTCGAGCACATTCATTTTGGGATCCATACATTAATACAATTTCAATCCTTTCCTGCAAACTGTAAACCATTATTGCTGTTTTATTTAAATAACTTTGTTAAGTGGATAACACAAAGTTGTTTAAGTAATAACCAAATAAACTTATGTTTAGAATTGCACTTTTATTTTATTCTTTTCTCGCACTGTGAGCCTGCCTATAACTCGTTTATAGAAAGAGAAAAATTTCGTCTCTTTTTTTCCTTTTTTTGGCCATTCGAGTCAAGAGTAATTTTCATACAGGTTTAATGTAAAATACTTTCAATAAAATGTAGTTTAATTCATAATTATACGTGTTTAGTTTTCTTAAATATTTCCGATTGCTCCGAAATAATAAAGGTTTAATGGTCGTTGTAAAAACGAACATGGTAATTTAATTTTATAAATTACTAATAAAAGATTAGTTATTCTTGCTTTTAAGAAGGTGATTAAAGTTTTTAATATTAAATAAAGCGGGAAATACAAAACAAAGATTTTCGCAAAAATTTCGAAAAAGACCTTTAAAATGAGGTATCACTTGAAACCCCTTTCCATTTAAGATTTTTAAGGGGATGGTTTCTGGCGGCGGGGGGTTGAAGTGAGTGAGTCTATTTTTGCATAAAAAGTTGTCCCCCTTGGTTTTATTCTTTACCTATTTCAGCGATTTTCTTTTTAAACTTCCGGATTTACAGAAATTGAGGTGGAAAGTTTTGAAATGAACACCCTGTATATCATCAATCATACACAAATTTGAATAAATAAAAATTATTTCGCTTAACCTTCCTACTACCAATAAGAATATAATACTATTTCACTTAAATGACCGCCGAGGCTAGTTTTGCAGTAGCCCATTCTATCGGGTCAATTTTTTAGCTCACTTTCAATAGTTTGAGGCTCTATTTTGCCAACAGCCACTTCAATTGCGACTTTCAAAGTGTCACTCGTCTCTGGATGATTGGCACCATAGGGAGTCAAACCGCAGCTTCATGACAACTTGTTGGCATCGGCATTTCTGCTGATGATGCGATTTTAACGTTGATAACGTCGATTGGCTGTATGGGCATTGGTGCCATTCTTCAATCGTAAAGAATAAAATGTTAGTTATAGGACTCGATAACGATCCCTATTGACTGTTAGTACGGTTCCTTATTCATTTTCAAAGAAAAATTTCTCAATGATGCCTTTTAACCATATTCTACACCATATAGTCAGTCGCTTTGGGTGTCCCAAATACGACAATTTTACTTGTTCACATAAAACCTGAGATGAAAATGAGCTTCTTTGGTAAAGATGTTCATCTTTTTCCAACCCATAGTTGTACATTCAATAACTCGAAAACGCGATAGATAAGTAAATTCTTGAACTAAATGAACTTTGTAGGTCTTCATCTTGAGATTTTTGTGTAAATTTCTTTACACAAAATTAAATTCTCTATCGCTGATTTTCTATTGTGATGAACGATGTCGAATGGAAGCGTTCGGATGTTGAGGTACACTTTCAGCTTGAGCAACACTGTCTTCCATCGTTTGAATTAGACGGTGCTACAGAACATGTCTATTGTCTATTAACATGCCAATCGAAAGAATTTTCTTCACCAACTTCCTTACACCATTCTCATTCATTTATAGCATTTAGATATTAATAGGGCCGTTAAGGTCAATCGATTAGAAAGCCCGAAAATTGATAATCTAAATTAAATTAGACGGATTAGTAACGTTTTCACGTTCGAAAATTGTTTAATTTTTACAATAATAATGTAAAAGTTTAAAATTTCCCATCCCCGACTCCAGATGACGTTTTAAGTAATACATTGAAGAGCCGAAGTTTGTAAACTGAATATAGGATAATTTTGGCATGTGGGCAGGCTTTCTACGAGGTTATGGGCTATCTGTAATTTTTTTAGGCTTGGAAATGTTGCAAATCAAAAATGAACATTTCCGAGTTTGTTTCAAAATTATTAAAATAAATTAGAGTAGTAACATCTACACATTGATTGATTGTATGATCAACTAAGCAGGTTTTAATAACATTGCAGGTCATCTCATTGACCCAAACTCTTTTGTCTTATTTCTGGTAATTATTTTTTCAGTAATTGATTTACAGCTTTTTTGTCTTATAAAATGATCAGTACGCTGGGATTAAGTTGCGTTTCGAACTGGAAATATCACATGGATTAAATGTGAAACTTTCTTTTTTAACCAATACATCAAGATATGTACACTATATGACTCTTTTTATTTTAACCGATTTTCCATTACAAAGCAGACGAAGATGTGATCTATTCCAAACTTTGTATTAACTAAGAATCGCAACAATAGCAATCCTACCTTCGTCGATTCTCTTCCTGGCATGTCTTCACTCCAAACATAAAATGCGGGAGCTCTGTAATGTATTGTCACACAACAAAGGGCATATAAGCTTATTTAACTTAGAGCACAAACTTGGACAACCTGATAAATTTTCTTTTCACAGATTCTTTTTTTTATACCAGCCTGAATGCGATCACCACCTATTTTTTTAAAGAAGTCTACCTTCTTATAATTTACGACAAAATTTCGATTCTTTATTTCTTTATCTGTTTTTCTATTTATTGTTGCAAGAGATAACATATAGCATAACTTATTAACATGTGCAATTTTGTTCGTTGCGGAATAGAAATTATTAGACATACCTTTTTATTAAAAGGTATTTGCATTAAAATACTTAAATTCATCATTAAAATGCTTAGTTTATCATTTTTAATTTATCATTAACAGATATTATTTTGAAACAGCTATTTTTTAGTTAGGGATGAAAGAGTTCAAGTGAACAATTGGGTTAAATTTGGGTTGAGAATTTAAAATTATTCATAACATTCATGAGATTTTTTCCTTAAAATAAATCGGTATTTACAACATTCTTCCTAGAAAAGTAATGTCCTTTCCTAATGCGCATACAAATGTTCCATTCAAAAAAGTCATAACTCATACATAAATTATTATCAGAAAGTAATAGATTAAATAAAATAGGCGTGTTTCGGTTTATTGCAAAATGTTAGTGTTAATATAAGGTATTAATGTTTCTGGTCCTATTTTTTTCTATTGTCTTGATAATTTCTATTTCTATTATAGTACTAGATTTCTATTGTATTACTAGTGAAACTCTATTATGTTGCGGTTTAGCTTGTGTCTAGCTTCTTTCTTTTCTAACCCTCCGGGCTACTTTTCTGTCCTTTGAAGTATTTTTCTGATTTTTGTAGGTGGGTTATTATAGGTTATCTTTATGGCGGTTCTTAGCTCCTACAATCGTAGCATTTTCCAGATTTTGCGTTGTTTTATCCTCTTTTTTTTTAATCGCTCGAGCTTCTCTTTTCTTTCAGATTTTCAGTTTCTGTCTGGTTCGAGAAGAAAATAATTAATTGTTTTCATTGTGTCGAAATTTCCATCTGGTTTCTTCATTTGTTTAGTGTCATTGTTTTCTACTTCCTTCTATAATCTTGTTTATTTCTTCCTCATCTGGTTCCTTTCCGTCTTCTCTATATAACTTCTTCTTGCATGATTCCACTATTTTTTCTTTTTTTCCTTGTGCCGAGTTCTTGGCTCTATATCTTGAATTCTAAATTTCGTTTAATCTAAATTTCTTTAGATTTTGGTTTGAGTTTAGTCTTCTGAGTTCTGGATTAACTTTATTTAGAAAAGGGCTTCTATCTGATTTCTTAATTAAGAAGCGTTTTGTTGTTTTTTTTTAATATTTGCAATTTTTCCTTTAATACATTCCAATATATATATACCTCCAGATCCTCTACCCTCTTCCCCCGTTTCCTCATCCTCATTCCTCATCCATCTTTTGCCCTCGCCCCCCTCTCCCAAAATCTGCTTCCTGTCCATTGCCTCCTCCCTTAGCTCACTACACCCTCTCAGCATGTATTCCAGCGTCTCCCAATCCTCTCCACACAGCCTATACCACCTCTCCACATCGTTTGTAAATCCCTTCTCGTATCTGTGACCTTCTTTCCTGCCTCTGTATATCCCTGAATTATCTCTCAGTTCTTTCCACATTTCACCTCTTTCCGCTCTTCTGTTTTCGGCCCCAGTTAGTGAGTATCCCACTCCTCTATAATATTCTTTCCTGTTTCTTTGCCCATAGATCAGCCTCCTCTCCTTAATTTTCCTCCGGCACTCTCCCAGGATCCCGAAATGCGGTCTTGCTTCTATCATTTCCTCATACTTTACTGCTCTTCTCCCCACCTCCACCCTTACTGCATCCACCTTAACCTCCTGCCTCACTACATACCCTGGAGTCTTCCTTGCCAACCCTAATACCCATCTCCAATATCGTGTTTGTATATCCTCCATCTGATTTCTTAATTTTCCAGTTTCATTGTTTCTTACTCGTTTCTTGCCTTTTAACCTAGCAAGTTTCTTAATTGTTCTGGGTTCTTTCATTTTCCTATTGTATTCCTTCTGTATTTAATCAAGATTCTTTGTTTTCTTTCTGGCATATTCTTGATTCCTTCATTGACACCGATTTTTGCAATGTATACAGCTTCCTTGGTTCAGGGTCCTTCTTTTTCTTCGTTCTAAATTTTAAATTTTTGACTGATATTTTCTAGATTTTGCATGAATTTTGACGTCTATCTTTTTGGTATCGTTCGGATATCTTATTTTATCTGTAGTCCGGTTGCTTGTTTGTTCTGGATTCTTCCCTTATCCTCTATATACCTTATTCTGACATGGTTCTATCATTTCCATCAGTTCCATCTGGCTTTATTCGGGTTTATTATTCTATATCTGAATTCTTCCAAGGCTCTGGTTAGCTTTTTCGGTTTAGCTTCTTTCTACTTTTTTCTTTTTATATCCTTTGGGCTGTGCTAACTTTCCATTCCTTACTGGTGTCTTTCCGATTTCCCTCACGTATTTTTAAAGATCTTAAAGGTGTAACGTCACCAATAATACTAACTCCAGGTTCTATCTGCGATTAAGAAAAGAGAAAATCTTCGAAGATTAGGACCTCCATTTTATATTTAAATTATTCTTCCATCAAGAGTTGTACTAAGATTGAATAGGAATCTCATGTTACTTTTCTTGTTGGCAGTGCAAATGCTTCAAGCTAATTTTTACAAATCCCAATTAACTACGAACTCTAGGAACGGTGTTTTATATCGCGTAAATTCTTCGGCACCTCTTGTTGAATATGTTCTTGGTTTTAAAAATAAAGACATTACCAACGGCGGCAAATTTCTCATTGTCAGTTTGTTTGCCTTCGGAACTTCTGAAATACTTTACTACTGATGATTTTTAATAATGATATATTTCAAATGATATTTAAATATGTAAAATGATCTTTTAGTTATTTTAACCTTTTAATTTTAAAATAATACGATTATTTACTGTGTTGATACCTTTAATCCCCTAATGACAAATTAGTTAGTGCAAATTTATTATGAATTATTTAGAGATTGGCATTTAAACACGGATTTGGATTTACTACGTACGTTATTAGTGAAAGGAAGTCATTGGCGATAGGAAATTGAAGTCGTGCTTTTTCTTTTTCTGACTATTAACCAAATAACTGCTTATATCTATGTGCACATACTATACTTAAAACGGAGTATGTAGATCAACTTGTTATAGGTATAGATAGAGTATGGTATTTGATATAATTTCTAATTAAGGTTATATGTTATTCGAGGGTTTTGAAATCACATAAATAATAATTTACGTATATCACGTTTTCGATCATATTTTTTTTATTTATAATTATTAAAATTTTTTTAAAGAAATGGTTTCTTTTTTAAATAATGGATTAAAGCTCCACCTACTTTTCTGAACGATTACCATTTTAACATTTCTAGTATTATTGATGATTTCTAGAGAAAACAATAGAAACTTAATGGTAATTAATGATTTTATCTAAATTGTGAAATTGGCAGTAACCTTTTAAAGATTTGCTTTCCCTTTTCGATTTCTTTAAATACTTAAAAAAACATCACAAAATTAAAAAACAGAACTCTAACATTTTAATATTGTTATAGAGATATTTTTTCTCGTTAACTCAGGTCGTTGGCTCGCATGTACACATAATTATTATGCAAAACGGTTATAACATCACGTACTTATTGTAGTACATTATCACCTGTACAACGATTGCATAAGTTAACCCGATTTCATTTGCGGCATTTAACTCCGTTTCGACTGTAAATCGTTCAATACTTTTTTCACGAAAATTACGCGTTCTTGAACCATTTGCATAAACTATGAAAAATCATTAGAAACGTTTAATATGTACTCGACACGTGTTAATATAAGTAATTACTTCGAACCACTTTTCAATATGCAAACATTTAAATAAACTCAAATAAATTAGATCTATAAAGAACAATCCAAAAGTCTTAAGATTAATAAATTTATCTTCTACTTAACTTTATCGTTTTCTATTTTTAGAGTTAACCCCTTATACACCGAAGGAAAATGTACTCAAAGCTCTTCCCTACCAAGACGTTTAAAAGTTCTCGGATCATCAAGACACAGCACACCAATGTCAGCAGAAAAATTATCCTCTTCGGGGTACGAAGGAAGCGGTGGAAGCGTAAACTACGTAACTGATGCAAAATTAACAGACACAGATTGTATTTTAGAACAAAACGGAAATTATGTAAAATCAATTCAAGTTTCACCTTCTTCGGAGGCTAACAAGAAAAAAATGTCTTCTCATTTTTCTGGTTCTTCCGGAGCAGGAACTTTAACAACGATTCTTGAAGGAAGAACTGATTTTACTATTCCGAGACCAATTTGGCCTAAACATGGTGATACGAAAAAATCTTCACGATTAGATTACGATAGTTTAGTAGATGAAGCGGTGATGCTGTACACGAATTCTTGTGATAATGTGATTGAAGAACAGTCTTTAAGAGATGTTCTTATCGAATTATTGAATAGTATTAACGCTACCATCGAGGGCAAGGGAATAACGCCGGAGGAAATGTTAAGATGTGTAAATGAAAAATTAAAATTAAGCGTGGAAGCTTTGAAAAATTCGACGGAAGAGGAAATGCGAAAACTTTGTATCGGGTTAAGTAACTCGAAGAATATCAGTTCCGTAGTGAGAGCTTTTAGCAATCGAAGTAATTCGACCAGTGGAAATTCCAGTCAAAGCTCCCCAAAATGGAACAGTGAAAGAATACGAACTAACTCATCAGGAACTGAAGATTTATATCAAATAGCTTCTGGTTCTTCGAGTAGTGGTTTTAGTGATTCAGTAAAACATTTGGATATTAATCAGTTACCGGTTTTTGTTCATGAAAATTTAGCAAGTGTACCAAACGGTGTTCGAAACGCCATGATCTACGGTACTTTGTGTCGAACTAATTTTAAATCCGGGACGGATGTGTTAATCGAAAAGGATTCAAAGAGTGCGGTTAAACCGAAGAAAAGTTTGCTGCTGGCGGCGAACGATGACAAACCGAGCGTTTGGGAACAATATTACGGCGTTAACGCTGCGTTGGAAGCTCACGAACAACACTCCGGATCTGGGTACATACCAAAGCCTACCGACGTGCCCATTTACGTGAGTACTTCTTGACCTTTACCTTTCATAGTAGTATTCATGTTGAGATGGAAGACTGAATAAATTAGACGAATGTCACTTTCTCCAAGGTTAATGTCACCACTGCAGGTGTTTATTTGACGATAAAATAAACACATAATCAAGTTGGTGATTAGGCCTATTTAAATACAATTAACTGTATTAGATTAACATAATTATTTTGTCTCAACTGTCAATTAAAATTTTAAAATTTATTAAATGTATAATCGACTTATAACAAAGGTGTAATAAATCGCGTCAAATGTTTAGACGGCGTAAGGCTTTAATCGCGGACGTTTCGATATAAATCACTCTTTAAAAGAACCCGGTTGCTAGTTTATGTTAATCGACTAAATTGAATGCACCAACAGTAGGTGCACTTAAGAATATAAGAATTGCATAATTGGACTAATTCCATTCTCTTGCCTTGTTTTGCAATGGTTTTATGGTGAGAAGAGGCGATAGTGATCACGGTGTTGAACGGATTGCAAGATTCGTAACGACCGTGACGATAAATTTCCTTCTCAAGGGATTTCGTGTCATATATCTTCTAACAAAATCTTATTTACTAGTAGTATGCAACAAATCAAAATTAGTCTCAATATCATAAAATAGATAGATTTATTATTTTAAATTTATACACAGAGTGTCTCACGTAAGGGGCAAAATACATAAATGGCATTAAGGAACCGACATACACATTTCTTCCTTAGAGAAAAGCTGTAGGAAGTTTATCACACTATTAACGGAAAATATTTTTATAGACACAGGTGTTCCATAACGACGTACAGAATTAAACATGTTATTTTAAACGGAACGATATAGTTTTTATTACGTGTTTGTTTCTACGTGAAAGATATATTGATTTTGATAAGACATGTTGATACCTTGCGCTTTTAGTTTTTGAGTTATTTTAATTCGAGTCTTTTTTAGCAACTAACACTATGTCAGTTAAATCTCATTACTTAGCGACCGATAGAGCTAGAAAGTTAAAATTTGTGTCATTTGCTGCTTGAATATCCTTAAATAGAGCGCCATTAGCTACATCGGTCTATCTTCTACAGAGTGTTCAACAATGTAACTATGGTACAACAGTATTGCAAAAAAGTCGAAAACTTTAAATGGAACACCTCATATTTGATTAGCAGATAGAAAATTTAATGAGTTGTAGTTATTGATCTCAATAACTGCGGAATTAATCAAAATCATGCAAAGAATGGCAGATTTTGTTTATTTTTTTTAATAGTAAGCCATGAAATATATGCGTTTGACAGCCTTCAAGTAATGCAATTACAGAAAAGATTGAATTTGCAGAACTTCTTTAGAAGGAGTGTTGCTAGAAGATGCAGGTTTAAAAACTACTGAAACACTAGGTAATGTGCAAGCCGAATTCGTAAATCGGCTTCATCTATGCATAAAGCACAGATGGCGAATGTTTGAACACCCTGATGTTTTTAAAAACATTATTAATGCTTAATCATGTTTTTTTGTTTAATCCTGTAAAAGATAGACTGATATAACCAATGTCGCTGTATTTGCGGATATCCAAGGAGAAACTATACCAATTTTCAACTTTTTAGCTCGACCGCTAGTCACGAATATTTACCTAACCATTCCAATTTGAAAACTCTCTTATTTAAAATCTTATTTAACTCCAGTCATGTCTACCATAAAGCCCAAGTCAAGCGCATTATTTACTGTAATTGATTACGACGAGAAAGTTTCAGCAGTTGCCATTCTTCAAGGGCAAAACTCATCAATTTGCCATATTAGCCAGCGAAGAGACGAGGACGGTGCTAGAAATAAGTGAAAACAACACTAAATATAATTATTTCAAATTTGGTATACACCTAGCGTTTATGAATCTCTACAATAAAATGAGAATATCGTCAGCCATACTACCAGGGTTGTTCCATTTTTCGTGTTCCTGATTTTTATACCATCCGCAAGTTTTTGTTTGAACACCCTGTTTATATTTTGATATTATATTTAAGCTCCCTATGCTTTTCTTCAACTTTTTGGTCTAATGCGTTATTCTCGTATCTGCGACCGTTTTCAAAATACTTTAGGAAAATAGCCATAAATGTAGTTAGGAACACGAAAAAATGGGACCCCCGATAGTGTGGGGTGACGATTTTGTCATTTTATTGTAGAGATTCGTAAACATTCAAATTTGAAATAACTATTCAAAAAAACACCGGAGAAAAACATAAAATTTAAGCTTTACCACCCTGCAGTGACGCATTTTTGACATCATGTCTATTAGCATTCTTCTCCTATTTTGTCGAGTACTACCGACCCCTGAAATATCTGCACGTGGTTCCTTAATATCCTGTATATAGTTAATTTTATAGTTTTGCTTAACATTCGAGATTTGAGCAGTTTGTCGAGAGCGTAGTAGCACCTGTTATCCTTTACGATACGGAATCTTATTTCATTACTACATGAGCCATTCTGTGTAATCTTTGAACTTAGAATTGTTGCACTTTTTCATATATGTAACCACCAACTTTGTCTGCATTATTATTCATTGCTGTGTTCCGTGGCATTATCATATATTTAGTTTTGTTTTCGCTACAGTGCTAGACTGTCGTGCGATGTTTTAATACCAATATACCCAGCGATTTCTAATTTTCTAATTGCTGCTCCCAGCGTCAGATTGAACAGTGTACCCTATGACACATTCCATATTCAAGGATCTTAGCCATATTTTTCTAAGAGAGATATTGGCCAGTAGTTGACCACTTCTTTCATATTTCTTTCTTCTTTCACAGTTTTATTAAAGTGGTCAGGATAAATTCCAGGGAGGTTGTAATAAAATGCTTATAATATGAAGTTATTATATAAAAGTTGCTTTCCCGGAGTAGCATCAATCAAATTGACTCGGGCGACATAACCAGATTTAGCTTTTTCCAAAACAGGTCCAATACTTGTTTGTTGGTACAATCTCGTTCTGTGGCAGAAAGATCAACAATCTGTACACTTAGTTAGCGCCTATCCACTCTTCTATCGTATTCACTTTTTCTTTGAGCGCCATCATGTTTTCAGTAAAAACTCACTTCACCTGTTAATTAATGTTGTCCCATCTTTAAGTGATCAATAATACACGATTTAATTAGATTTAGTTGCTCTTGGGACTTCAACAGCTCATCAGAAGATACTTATCTCACTATATCGCCATCGTTCCATTTTAATGATTTAATGTAATGATGAATAAAAATCAGAATTCGAGTATTTGTTTATGATATCACACTTAGAGTCACCTGGTAATATACCATAAATTTGCACTTCGGTGGACTTAGATTCAAGTTAAATATTCTACATGTTTTTAGTAATTACCTTAAATTTGATGAAATTGAAGAATTGATGATAAATTTGATGTGAAATTGAAAAATTATGTAAATGATCTTGACTGAACTTCATGTATAAAAATGCTTTTTTTGAAACAATTCATGAAAATGTCAAATACAATATTCTTTGAGAACTATTTTGATTGAGTTTCAGGCCGATTGATAATATGATAAATTTGTAAGATCCAGATTTACTAAAAGATGTTACTTGAACCTTTATCCAGCGGTATCTGATGAAAACCTAACATAAACAGTGGTTAAAGCAATAAACACTTTTGCCAGTCATAAATTTTTATTTCAGTTGTCTATGATCGACTATTAGGTATTACCACTTTTTAAATGCATCTATGGATTTTTAGGTACAACCCAAATCGGACTGTTGTATTCAACAGTTCACTGTGTACTTATCACATCTTGAATCATTCTTTCAACGAGAGCGTTTACTGTCGTTTTTGACAACAAGATAAATACAATAAAACACGGATTTTGAGAATGTACATAAACAGTTATTTTTTCAGGAAGATGTTTATAAAAATTGTTTGTTCTTAATTTACCAATGATTTCTTCTTTACCAATTCTCATTACTATAACCCAGCATTCATAATGTGGTTTACAAATTTAGTAATAATATCTCGAGCTGAAATGCCATCTCAAAAATAAGAAAATGATGATCGTATGTTTGAAAAACATGCTCTGCTGGAAAATCCTTAACGCAAATTACCTTGTAAATGTTATTCCTATATATTAATTGATCTGGAAAATGGCTGTTGTTTTGAAAATAGAAACATCAGCTTCTGCTTAAAAAATGAGAACTAATTGGGACCATAGGTAGTTCAGATTATCATATTGTTAGAATACACGATTGATAATAATAAGGTAGTAGAACTTTAACTGTTCATCAATTACATCAACTTTATCGACTGAATCTTAATGTTTTTGTTTTCCAATCACTTCTGCATAACAACCTTGCGCGAATTGTAAGTTGGACGTTTGTTCAATGTAATGGAATGACATGGAGCATTCTCTTTTACAATTTTTTTTCAATTTTAGCTGAAACAAGAAATAGTTGCGTTTTATCCCAAGCTGCGATTGTTTATTGTCTTTAGGTAACCACGGTCTTTAGTGATCGTATCAAGCAATAAATCACAGTTTTCTAAAAATCAGTTCTTACAATCAACATGCGATAAATAGTGAAGTGCTTCCCTTTTCGTTTTGGTCTTTTTGGATTTGTTTTACATCGTTGTCATTGTGTCAACTTTAAGGCAAACAGAACGGTTTTGGTACATCGATTTTTATTTAGAAAGACGATCGTATAGTCCAAATACTATAGACATTTTGTAATAAATGTTATTTTCATTCATGTCTTTATTAGAGTAAGTTTTTCTCCCACCTGATTTTGCAACGCCTCTATTACTTCAAATATGTTGTTGATACAGACATATCGCCAAAATAACTATGATGCTAATATAAACCTCGAGTTTATTTCTTGAGGTTACATTTAGACTTTGACTGTCGTGAATTTTGGAAGTTATCCTTCTTACGTTAATCATTGATGCTGCAGCCCCTGTATAGGACCTCCATCACCATTCCTCTCTAGTCTTCCATGTACGCCTCTGTCAGCCTTTACGCCGT